TATCGAGCCACTTGTAACTCGTGGTGGTTGTGTCTGCAAAATAGCACAACTTTTAAAATGTACATGTTCCAAAGACAATGAAGAAGAAAACAGATCAGAATTTTCGTGGTATTAATTAGTTCTTGTTTTGGGAAGATCTGCCAGCTATCTAGTGCTAGGCTAGATTTCATATGTATAGAATGTCATTTGTTCTCCCCTCCCCAAGAAACCTAACTGTAATAGATTTTAGTGTTTCTGTAACATACCTGAGATAAGAATAAAGAATGAAAAATGAGTGGTAATCTTTTATGTGGAATTTGAACCCAGGTCTATCTTTAAGCTTTTTTCTTTTGTGGCAAGGCACTTTTTGATAACCTAACAAGCATCATTTAGAAAAATAAATCGTGATTTCTGCCAAGGCAATTCACCACCAATTAAGTACAGATATGAAAGGTAGCATTTGGGAAATCATTTTGGTTACAGGATTTTACAGTCTGGGGATGGTAGGATAATTGAGTCACAAAATTTGTAGTTAAAATAACTGACTTGAGTGCCAGCTCCCCCACATAATAACAGAGAAGCCTAAAGAAATCCATTTAAAGTCTTTGGGTCTCAGTATCTTCATCCGTGAATTGAGATAATAACTTAATAGGGTGTTTTGAGGATCAAAAGAGAAAATGCATTTGAAAATGCTTTATAAAATAGAAAATAGGATACATGGTACTATTATTATCCTACACACCACATAAAATCTTTGCGTATATCTTCAGCATAAGAGTTTCTTTTCACTTAAAAATATCAGGCTGAACCCTTTCCACAAACATTTTTTTTTGTTTAATCTCCAAAATTAAGAGTTCCTCAGAGCTGCTCTTCTCAGTCCATGTTGGAAGTCAGGCAGCAATTAGCTACATTGTTATATACAAAAAATTACCATCTTACACATACACCCCATGTGAATGGCAGCCCCATAAAAAAATCACTTGTGTCTTTAATTAATGCTTAATGAGCAACACAATTTAATTATTGTTCTCCACTGAGGTTGGACAAAGCAAATAGAGTTGGGTCAGCCAAAGATGAGGATTTATCAAGGAAATAGTAGTCAGAGAAATTCAACGGTTTTGATCTGGTAGCCTGTGGGCTGAGACTGGCCCACATGCATTGTCTTTTGCAAGAATAAATTTTTTTTATTGTACTTGTGCTTTTGAGTGAAGCTCGTAGACAGTGTATGTATCCTCAGAGATGTGGCCTCTGTACTGTGAAATCATAAAGAAATAAGCGAATGCATCTGAGCATGGAAAACTAGAGGAGAAACAGAGCTCTTTTTTTTTTTTTTTTTTTTTTTCAGATTCCCATGTACTTTAGTTTATTTTGAGAGAGAGAGAGATACAGGAATACAGGACTTCAAAACATTACAAAATCAGCAATAGTTATCATAATGCCTCTTGATGTCTTCTAAACAGCTGATATAACTTTGGGCATAGTAAAAATCAAACAGAACAGAATACAATAGAAACAATAAAGACAAAATAATGAATGCAATAAAAGACTTCAAAACAAGCCAACAGTAAAGCCAAAATTGCTACCATCGTATATCTTCTATCTTTGAAACAGTTGCTCCTGCCATGGGATTTGACATAATCAAACAAAACAAAAGAGAGTAAAATCCAACCCAACAAAACAACGGAAACAACATAGGACCTCAAAACAAGGCCACAGGGAATCGACAATGTCTGCAGCCATCAGAAGGTGATCCCTCCTAGATGCCACACTGTGTGCATCACGCTATCCTCTGAATCTATGATCCAACCACCGCCCTAGACCTGCGATGTTAATGAAACACCAAAGCACCACAGGCACCCAATTGCATTTCACCTCCATAGCTATCACCACAGCCTGTGTTTTTCCAGATAACACAGTCGCTTACAGCGGGATTGGTGCGGTTGGTACTTTTTTTTTTTTTCTTTTTCTTTTTTTTTTTTAATTTAAAGAGAAAAGAAAAAAAAACAGTGAAAGGGTACAAGTTATACAGATTTACAGAAGAAAAAAATGAACAGTAGGAAATCATTAGTTAATGGATTACATATTGCCATCTTAGAAATAATTGTTCAAGTCACAAAATTAAAGCTTGTAGAGTGGACATTCCAACAATGATACTGCAAACAGTTCTGTTCAATGATCCAATAAAATTCTGTGATATCATTTTCTATCTTATACACTTAAATATACATGCAGTTATATAGTTTAGAGCACTTTCTTTTCCTCTCTTTTGTACAATGACTATTACACATTTTGGGAGAAACAGAGCTCTTGTGATGTGGCTTGGGCACAGAGATTCCACATAAGCAGAGGACACTAACATACTAGGACACATATCATGAAGTCTGCCGCACACAGCAGGTTGTAAATGTATTCATTCAATGAGCATTTACTGAAGACACCACAGAACAGGTTTCAGCACAGAGAATCGCTGTGTAACTAAATGGTCTTCATTATATTATCACCAACATCTTTATCACTATCATTGCTGTGGCTGATAAGACACAGTTCTAGGAATGGCAAAGACATACAAGGCTGTCTTCTTTACCTCCACATATAGCACACCCACAATGTTCTGGTCAGTTTCCAATACATGGTCACTGTTCAAAATATATCTAAATAATAAATGAATAAATAATGAAAAGTTGGGGGAAGCCATCCTTCATCTTGGAGAAAAATATCCAAATGATGGTCTGACAGTTCCTAACACAAGGTTGTGAATAAGTCTACAGAAGTGTCAGGAAAGGCCCTGTGATCTTCTTGAAGAAGCTGAAAGGAAAAAATAGATGGAAAACATTCCCTAGGAACTGGACAAGAGGTTAAATGGATGGATTACATAGTGTGCACAGAAATCATGGCTTTAAGTGCTGGACAGCATTTATGCCACTATTTAAAAGAATGGACCATTTCATTGCTTTCTAAGTGGTAACCATAGCACAGCAGAATTTTCCCAAATGTGCCCTCTAATAAATCTGGTCATAGGTGAGGGATCAGCTGGGCTTCCCATCATATCCTAAATTCATGTCACATGGGCAGATTTGGTAAGCCGGGGTGCGCTTGGCCCCTGGTCATGCCTCATCAGACCTGGGGCAGCAGATTCCTTCCTATCCACTGGTCTTAGATTGGCCCAGGCAACTGATGATTCCCCATATTCCTTACTGTGCTGCATTGTGACACAATGATGTTACTTTTCTACATTAAAATTCTTTATGATTGCCTTTAGCTTAAAAACATCCAAACTCCTTACCAAGATGAATCTTGAACTTAGGCTGTGAACCCTCTCCTCTGATTATCCCAACATCTATCAGGACTCCAGAGGACTAGAGACCCTCTGTCTGCCTCAATGGAAAGCTTTTCTGAAGTGTGTTCCCCTGACAAATTTCCAAGCACCTGCAACCATCACCCTCATGCTTGAAGCCACCACAGAAGCCCACATCACACATTTTTCTTGTCTTATGTCAGTGTTGCTAAATGATTCTTCTCTATTGACCACGACCTTTAGCTCTCAATCTTGGAAGTCCAGCTAAAACAACCCAAGCAACAAACTGGATTGCTTTATTCATTCATGTTACCAAACTACACAGTGACTGAGCGTTTGGATGGCTGCATCTGGCGTGTCAGACTCAATCAGGAACCCCACTGCAAGCAGCAAGCTTCATGGAACAGACACTACAAATTCTGGCTTCCCCATGTTTGTGTCTATACTCACTGGCAATCAGAGAGAGAAAAGGTTCTTTTCCAGTGATTCCAGAAGGAAGCAGCACACCCTGGCTTAGCTCCTCTATGCATTCTAGAGAAGGGGAGAGTACAGTGATATACCCAGGCTGAATCAAGGTGCGTGCTTGGACCTGAGAGTGGGATACTATAATTAGTAACACCCATCAGGGCCTTATTACCTTTGTACTGGAAAGAAAATCAATGTTCCTGAAGAACAAGATACAACCTAAGAAGGAATTAAAGCCAAGCAGAAAAACAGGTGTGGGATAGTTTTTTAGTCTGTAACTAATAACACTTCAGGTTGCATCGTAACTATGAATTTAATGTACCCCTCATTAGACTTGAGTTCCTGGAGTTCAAGTGCTTCTTTTACTTATTTGCGTATCACTAGAACCTAGCATGATGCCAGATGCCAAGGTGGTACTTAGCTAATGTTTATTTGCTGCTGAATTGATAAGTGAATGGCTCTCTTAGGCTCTGTGAATAAAATACCCAGTGAACACAGGGACAGAATGCTCTGGTGTTTTGAAATAAATTAGACAAATGTTTATACAGTCTCTATAATTTGAAGGTCACTGAATAATTCAAAACCAACCTAAAACACCATGACCTTTGAAATGCAGCCAGTAGTTTTTGAGTTCACAGTATTAATATTTTTTATAAAAGACATTTACTCTTTACAAAAGTCCTATGATTTTGAGTATTAGTCCCAGTTTAGAAATTAAAAAGATAGAGTTAAAAGATCCCAGGGCTTTCTTAAGCTTTCATAACCAAAAGGCTACAGAGAAAAAATATAGAATCAGGCCCTCTGATCTCAAGTCTAATGCTGTGCTTTATATTTTCCATTTCTTGTCAATGCTTTCTTTTAAATTTTTAAAAATGTATCTGTACATGTCTGCAGGTCATGGAGTTTACAGTCATCTTGGGGAATGATTACATGTACACGTGACCACATTTCTTTCTTTTTAAAAAAAAACCCCTTCCCGTTCCTTCCCTCTCCTGTTGATAGTACTTGTCTTAGCTTATGCCGTGGCATACAATGTTTGCAGTGGTTGGGGATTATCAGGTTCCTGTGTGTGGCACACCTTTATCCTACTTACTGCCCTTCCCCTCCTGTCTCCTCCTCTCCCCTTGTTCCCATGGATTACTTCCCATGGGAGACCCATTCCCTTGTCCCTTTCTATCCATCCTTTATCATTCTCTTTGTTTATATTTTGCTTCACTCAAGTGAGTGAAGCCCCTACAAATTCACTCAAGTGAGGGAATCCCAAAAACCTTGGTTAGATGCCACAAAGTAGGTGCCAATGCCTTACCTGGATGTGTGTTGTTACCCCCGAGGCCTCCTCTGGCTTTGTCAAGGGAAGTGATAACCTTCTCTCCGTTCATACAACTCTAGCACTGTGCTCTTAAATAATTTGTTTAACCTCTCTGGGCAAAATAAGGATAATAACATTTATGTCCAGGGATTGCTGTGAGGAATAAGACAAGAAATATATCTATGTATATGTACATATCTATCTCTGGCTCTATCTCTACATGTACATCTGCATCCATGTCCAAATCTACATCTATAGCTACAGTTACATCATCTGCAGTACTCAGCACAAAGCCTAGTCCAGATTGGCGAGTTGGTTGATAATAGTTGCTACATTTGTCTGGGACGGTGAAAGTTTTCCCAGCGTTTCTGAGTGGTGCCTGTCTCCGGCCCTTCATCTTCCTTCTCCCACGTTCAGGAAATGATCTGTGTTCTTTGTCTGCTTTGCCTCTTTCTGCAGCAGCATCTCTCCCCTGGGACTCGCTATCAAGTGGTTAAGTCTCCTGACCTCTCCCTTCTTAGCTAAAGCCAGTCACATAGACCCCGCTTGCTGCCGCAGGTAGCTGACCTCTAGTTCAGCAAAGAATACCAAACGGCACAAGGAGGTGTGGTTCCCAGATCTTGCTCTGATACCTGTTCGCACTGTTCTCTAACATGTAATATCAAAATGTTGAGCCAGAGAAATCACTATGTTAAATTTTGCAATTGAAATTTCAGTGAAAATATTCTTTCTGAAGAGTCAAGCAATGCTATTACTCAGTCTCCAACACTAAAAGGTCTTAAATATCTTTATAGCCACCATGTAAATCAGCATTAGCCTTGCCTAAATTTATCTGACAAATTGCTATTACTTTTCACTGTTCCCGCTTGCTCTTCTTCTCAGCAGGGATTCATGCCTGCAGTGCATTTTCAGAATTTTCTCTTGAACATAGATTTCAGGCCGGCTGAGACAGAAAGGACAGAGAAGGAAGCGAGAGCACAGATGACATTTCTTTTAGGCTTTCTGCCTAGATCTCACTTGGCCCACTGCCACCTTCTCATTAGTGCCACCAACGGAATCTGATTAACCACTCTGATTTATTTTTGGCAACCTGGGGGTGCAAGGTCCAATGCTTATTTTCATGGCTGATACAGTCAGCCCCAAAGCTGTCGTTAGCATTTGGAAGATTAGTTCCTTCTCTGGAACGTTTTTCTGTCTATGAAGCATCACGACATGTTAGACCTATACTTCCTAATCACTCTACAAAATTGAGTCTGTTTATTCCTCTTTTATGATCAAAACCACCTTCAGTTATTAACTACTAAAGCATATCACAACATATCTTTAATAATTATGAATTTGATGTTTGCAAACATTACTTGCAGAGTTAGTGGATCAACTTCTATAATCTATAAAAAATTAAAGCCAGATTTCAGTGCTAGACTTGTCTACAGTTTGGTTAATAGATTTTTCTGCTGAATATCAAACACTAAAGTTTATGTAAAAGAGGTGAATAGTAAGGAAAAAGGAACAGTATTTTCCCCAAAAAATGAAAATGTTAGATACCGAGCCCAATTATCTCATATGTGTGTAATATGTATTTTATATAACATGGACACAGCAAGGAGGAAGACTGAGAAAGCAGAAAGGCAGAACATGTCTGAGCTGGTCTCACCTCGATGGCAGAGGCCAGTCCTGCATCACCCTTCCCTCTGGGGAAACATGACCCTCACCATCCGCAGTCTTGTTCATGGTCAGTGTGTGGAGAGGGACCTGGCCCCCCAAAGCAACAGTCTTCTGTCTTATCTCTGAGAATGACAGACAGTGAGGATAACTGGACATTTTAAAAATTAATCCAATAACAACTGTCTCATCCATCATATTGCAGAACTCCAGCCGGGATGACCCACCTCAAGCACCTGGCACGTGCCAGGCTCTGGACTGGGGGAGAACAACTGAATTAAGATAGAGTCCTGCCTGGAAAGGACTTATGGTCTAGTATGGTTAGAAGCTCAATACAATTAAGTATAATTAATGATACTATAGAATTAAAGTTTTATTAATGTCATATTCTTTATAACTACTAAGATGCATAAACACTAAATTTCTAAAAAATACCTATCATTACATTGTTGGGTATGGAAAGCCTCTGTAGGAGGTATTGATATGTATGTACAGTGTACTTGACCTAGTAGCCAACAATATGTCAATCAATAACTAGATTAATTCTTAAAAGGTGGATGCCCAGGTATAATGAACAGATTCAACAGATACTTTTCAGTTAGATGGCTGTGGGACAGACTCAGTGTTAGGAAAATAAGTCAAGGAAGGATAACAAACAGACACACAGAAGCTCATTTTGTTTTTGTACTCTTGACCATGGGCAAATGACCTGTCTTTCTGTGCCTCAGTTTCCTCATCTACAAAATTAATAGATTTAAAAATGCTGTCTGTTTCGCAAAGTCATTTTGAAGTGAGTTCATCTGAAGATGACATGGATAATTTGATTAATGATACACTTTTTATCTGAAGAGTACCTAGCAAAGTACCTGGATCTTTGTCAACTATTTCAGTAATACTTCAGCACTTACTATAAAAGGGAAAACCGGGGCCCCAAGCAGGATACCACATGCTCAGAAGATAACAAATTAGTAGATACTAGAAAGCACATGAGTCTTGATTAAGACCAGAAATAATGTGCTTCTGCATGTTCGAGTCCGGAGCAGAATTCAGAAGGGAGGTCAAAGCTTACTATACAAATACTGCTTACAAACTTTGATCTGGAGCCTTGAAGCAAAAGTTTTCAGTACACATATGGATGGTTTTTCGCACTGATGCCTGAGATCCTCAGTCTGGTCAATTTCTCCTAATAAGAGCTGGTTAAACATTAAAGACTAGGGTTTTCATAGATATCATGATTTTCACTTTCTTCATTATTTTTACAACTGACAGTTGAAAAGCAGGAGAGGAAATAATTACCTTGAAATATTCTAGCATTTTCCCAGGGGTGCCACAGCCTCACTCCTAATATGTGAGGAACATTCCTTCCAACTATATCACATCTCAGCTTTGCTGAGCCCCAGGATCTCTCTGGATGGTGTGTCACAGTGATTTCCTTTCCTTGATGTTTCTTTTGTGCCTATAAGATGACAGGGTCTGACTTAGACACAGCTTTTCATGGTAGAAAAATCCTCAACTAAAATCCTGGGAAAACCATTCAGCATAAGAGGAATGATGTCTTCCTTCTGATTGTTCTGTGCTACTAAAATACCTATGTAACTCTATTTTAAGAAATAACTCTTGCCATGAATATTAGGTTTATTCACTTGCTTTTGTTTTTTGCAGTACTGGGGACTGAACCCAGGACTTTTGCACTGAGTTATTTACCAATTTCCTTTGAAATGTTTTTGTTGTTACTGTTGCAATTAGTTTTTATTTTTGAGATAGAGTCTCACTAAGTTGTCTAGGTGAGCTCAAACTTGCAGTGCTCCTGCCTTAGTCCACCGGGGATTGCAGGTGTACACTTCCACACCCACTGAGCATTACGATAAAAAAAATTCAGTATAATTTTATTACTCATAATCTGAATTTGACCTGTATTTCCTTTCTTTCTTTTTTCTTAAACAGAATGCTACAGCTTTCCATGTGAGTGTCCAAGATGATAATAACATCGTTGTCTCTTTAGAAGCTTCAGATATCACCAATCCTGCATCTGTGTATGTTGTGAAGATAACTGGTGAATCCAAAAATTATTTCTTCGAATTCGAGGAATTCAACAGCACTTTGCCTCCTCCTGTTGTCTTTAAAGCCAATTATCATGGCCTTTATTATATAATCACTCTAGTAGTGGTAAATGGAAATGTGGTTACCAAGCCATCCAGATCAATTACTGTGTTAACAAGTAAGCATCATGTGTGACGTCATCTTCTGGTGCTTCTGTGAGTGTGTTCTCATGGGGTGATGCATTAGACGTGTAGCTCAGAGTGCAAATCACTTGCCTTGAATTCAAGTGACATAGATTAAAAGTTCTGTATTATATTGAGAATATAGCTTCTAGAGTTGGGGATTTATCTCAGTGGCATAAGCAACTTCCTGGCAAGCACGAGGTTGTGAGTTCAATGCCTGGTACAAAAAAAAAAAAAAAACAGAGAGAGAGAAAAAAAAATAAAACACAAAAATAACCAAAGAATACAGCTTATCAAAATGCTGTAATTTTAACTGCTTAGCTATTGTTAAAATCTGTTTTAAACCAAAAATGTTCAGCCTCACTGAGGTGACATACTTTAAGATTGAATGACAATTTCAGATTAGTGATTGGGCCATGTAATTTTCAGCTATATGATTTAATAATGTGAATATATAACTTGTCTGTTTTTTCCCCAGAATATATATTCTTCTATTAAGCAATTTGGTTTTCAAGATAACAAATGCATCATCCATCACATGTATCCTATTGAAATTTAACTATATATTATAAACTGAGAGAGACAAAGAGACTATATCTTTATCAGCCATTAAAGAGTTAATTTTGGTGTTAGGAAGTTTTTAGGAGTGCTTCTAACTACCGATGGTTTTCACTCTACTCTCTAATCTTAATACCTAATCCCAAGTGAAATGCAATATTTCTGCATATGTTGCAGAATGTAAGAAAAATTGATATCTGTAAAACACAGCTCATTAGTAGTCTAATGGCTCAGCAAAATTCTTCCTACTCACGTTCTTCAGAACAAGCTTTCCTATGGCTGCGACTATTAAAATCCCAGCTGCATGTTGTCATTGTGGCCACAGTCAAGGAAGAGGACATGGTGATATTGTCTGTTGTATTAAAAAGAGGAAAAAAGAATAAGAAGCAAGAACTCAGAACCAACCTAGAGGACATGTTTTTACCATAAGTGTTAAAAAATTAATTATAGTCTCCCCTGGAAGTCTCAGGATTAGCAATGATTTAACAGCGCCAGACTCTCCAGACCTTCAAAATTTATACATGTAATACCTAGGAACTAGTTGAATTAAAAGGACTTACCTGGTAGAAGATGGTCTTAAACAAAATCTAGAAAAAAGTGAATTAAGAGTTAGCTGCAGGTGATAGGTCTAAATA